AGACCTGAATTGGAGAAATATGAGAGTACTGCGTTCAAACCTCCAAATCCACCAATTTGAATATATCGGGTGACAAGCGATTATTTCCTCGCTCGCAGCCCCAAAATCTCATACTTTTGATATTGAATATACAGTCCTCTCGCTGCAATGCGTTCGCTTGCTATCTCTCGATCTCTGACGAAGTGCAGCTCAATTTTTGCTTATGTGGATTAGTGCTTTGGATTATCCTTTATTAGTATTGCTTATTAAGTATATTACTGTTCATTATTGGTTATTATTAGTACTGTAAGGGGGGTGAAATCTTTCCCCGACATAAGCAGCCCCCGTCGAGTAAAAAAATCCTCTCAACTCTGCAGTGTCCTGCATCTTAACTAGTACCATCGATATAGTTTGAGTCCTCCGAGCTCCAACCGAATAACAATAAAAGCAATCACTGTGAGAGCCATGCGAGTGCGATGGAAGTGGCGCACAGAACCACTTGCAATTGTAACACCAAACAGGGGGTATAAGAGCAGTACAATCACTCACCATATTTTCCAAACTTGGGGAACGCTTCCAAAAGTTTGGAGCATGAGCTTTTTGAAATTTCGTTCCGGAACTCAAACTTGAGTCTGTAATTGGTAACGCTCTTGAAATGGCTACACAATTTTTTCTAGTTCTATGTACAAGTGCACGACGTACTCGTCCCAAGTCTTGGCCGCCGAGGCAAATTTCGTTGTGGCCCATGATCCGGCGTGCATTAGCTGAAATGACAATTAATGGAAGAGCTACGCAAGCATACAATACTGCTAATAATCCGTGGTCAGACAAATTAATTTCTTGCAAACCGTCGCGTGGCTATAACTTTCGCTAAAATGCTCCAATACAGTTGAAAGTAAGATCAGCGGGAAGCACTGCTCATGGTGAATCCCGAATCATCGTGAATTTTTGACTTCCATAATTTTTCCCTTCTTTCAGAAGGAGATTGAAGATTGAGTCCCTCACCACTTACTGTGTTGATCTAGGATATAACAACATCGTAAACCCTCCACTTCAGTTGGAAATTTCATAAGCTTTGAAAAGTCAAAAGGCATTGATGGCATTGATGATCCGTAGTGATGGGAGCTTGAGATCGTCACCCATGGCAGAATTTGATCAGTTTCAGGTGTAAACAGCGATGTAAATTACCAATTTTTTGGTGGTTTCTGTGTTTTCTTTCCGGAGGTGCATTTTATAGGTCACGAAGTAGTTTTACCCTCCTTTGAAGGCTTCGCTTGTGTGATACAATGAATAAACATGCTAGATCGGTCTCGAGTATTAGGTCAGCACATTTTTTCATTTCGAAGTAGATATTTCTTTTCATATAGTGTATGTCATGATTGCTTCCAATGTTGGCCGGAAAGCGACCACCACTGAAAAGCCTTCGTTTCTATAATGATTCGCATCAGCGCCTCATGTCATGGGAACTGGGCAGCACCGAAACTGATTGTGAGAACCGGCTCAATTAGCTCAGAGAATCGCACTGCTCGCCAACAAGGTTGTTTCGGCGCTTGCAAGCGTTGCGCGCGACGGTGGACCCGACTCCCTACGGATCCCCAGTCAGGTGCAAGCAACAGATGCAGGCAAGTTCACTGCGCTATTGGGCACACAGAACTTGGGCATTGTGGCCATTTGTTAGCACCTCAGACTGTCCGTGGTAACAGTAAGAGCTGGTCGTTACGAGATGATTTACTCACAAGTCTTTCTCAGCAGCTCACATTTTGGTCAAAACACAAGTACACTGATACTTCATTACAGGATGGGCTAATTACTTCTGATGTTCAGCGAACTAACAGTTTTCTGAGTTATTCTCAGAAAGACAATAGCTTTTGCATTCCTAACACTTGTAGATAAGGCCTTCTGTTTCTTTCAACATCGCCACTGTGTGTATATGATTAGGGTTACTTAAAGGCACAGTTCACGATAATTTTGAGGTACCCTTTTGTTTCAAAAAGCGGGACTATAGGTTGAGAATGGTTCATCGGTAGTGAAGAAAGCGAGAAAAATTCGCCAATTTCAAAGAAAAAAGGCCCCTCGAAAGTATGAGAAATAAAAGTTGGACGAGATCACTATGACGGAGATGAAATGGAAGGGGTTCAGTTGTGGCAGTTGCGCAAAGAGTTGGCTATATCAAGCCACAATTGTTCGGAACTCTCTGTCTTTCACTGTCGCTATGGGTCATGACAAGTTGGTTAAAGTTCCTACATGTCCCCTGTGATCGGTGCAGCTTCTTCGATGCCGGTGAAACTCGTCCGCGCATACACACATGAGTTTCCTTTGATAATCTTGAGTATAAATACAGTACAATACATCTTGGAGTTGAATGCACTCACGTAGTTCAAGAAAAGCCTTGCAGGCTCAGTGAGCCCAAGGAAGATCGACGACAAGGAGACAAGCAACTGTATAGTAAAGATATGTATGTGTTATTTGAATTGCAATTCTATATGAATACAAAGTGTTCATCCTTAGAGAGAGAAGGAGAGTGGATTCTGATTTTTCTCACTTGGATGAGCTTGGACCTTCAAGTATAGCCTAAAGGGCGCTGTCGGGTAGAAAAGAGGCCAAGCTAAGACGTAATGAAGGTCCTCAAGCCGGCTCAACACCCGAAGCGGACGAGTTCTTAGACGTTGTAAAATCTGTAGAGGTGGTACCCATTCCAGGAGACGCGGAGCTTTTGAAAAGCACAAATTTTATCCCGTGAAAGCTCCCATTTCTGAAGCTGGCTGCACAAGCAATGATAACGAATAAAGTAAAAACGAGTAGTACTTGAAAAGATAAGTATCAAATGCAACGTGCAACGAAAAGAAAAACAGACCATGTACAGGAAAAGTTTCGCGTCATATGGTAATTTTGAATATTTCTTCACAAAAGCGTCCACCGCTTCTCTTCCAACGATTTTACCGAGGTTGTTGGGAATGGTCTGAAAGATAGATATAAACGAAGTTTTTGTATTGAGCCGAAATCACCTTAAACTAAAGGTCTCTGCATGTGATCCAAAGTAATTTCTGGGTTTTCTGTACAGGGACTGCGGACAAAAATCACTTTCCTCCAGAAAACAATTCCTTCCATTTCTTGACTCCAGCACGGAAGTTTGCGGTACCTCCCCTCCTCTTCGGGCCTACAGCACGCCGTGAAATTTCAAACTATGATACACAAACACATAAAATCTCTTCCTCGGTATCGAATAATAGGCTCACTCCTGATTCTCTTTTTTTGGAAAAGAATTTCTTAATAAGTTGGTTATCAGTCATTATGAGAGCCTTCAACTACGGTACTTTCAAGACAGCCCAGAGTAAATCCTGTTTTTTACGTATAAGGAATATCGACGAATTCAGATTCCCGCATGAGTTTTGAGGATTAGGTCATCTTTTTTTCAGTCCGACAAATAGAAACCTCCCAAAATCATGGTATTGGGGCTATTCGAGAATCTTGCTCCCTCATAACGAACAAATGGACACTTGTGCTTATTCTCCATGAATCATAGCTTGTGAGCCTTGAAAACGTAGTGGAAGTTTGAGCTCTGGATGGGAGTGGAGTTTTATTTATTTATTTTTTTGATACACCAAGGGGTGTGCCATACAACAGAAAAACAGGAACTGAAAGGCAAAAGTCCTCTGAACACAAGAAGAAAAAAAAAAGGAAAAAACATCAACCTGAGAAAAGGTGAGGATAAAGCCAGAGCTGAAACATGATACACGCCTCACTAGAGGAAAGGGGGGGGGGGATTGCGAGAGAGAGAAGGAAGCAAGAAGCTCGCACTAAAGGAGCAATTCCTAGAATGATGCTAGAACCTTTCTCATATGTACAGGAAGGCTATTTTCCCCTGTGAAAAAAGGCTTCTTCAAATTAAACTAGCCCAAGGCCCAATAAGCATAGAGAATCAAGAATCCTAGAGCTTGCTGGACACCAAAGCTCGGTACGGAACAAATTCGATTCAAAACCACAATCGAGTGGACGAAGAGGGGCTGAAGGCAGAAGGTGAAGGGTTAGTCGTCTCACAGGATCCTCAAACAGCCAGAGCACATGAAAATAAGGCCAACATCATCATCATCAAAAGCATACTCCGCCAAGCCGGCTTCTTGCCTCGCAGCAAGAGAAAGGAAAACAGTAAAAATCGTGGCGAAAAATTAAATGAATCAAACTATCTAAGCAAACTAGGAAGATAAACAGCTATTTCAAACGAAAATGCCGCTAAAAGTATAAAAAAGCGGTAGGGGAAATAGGACGATGGACGTTACGAATCGCAAGAAGCAACAAGAACTATATCCAGAGAGGCAAACAGAGAAATGAACATTAGTAATCGAGCACCAGAACCAGACATGAGACGTCGGAGACATGTATCATAACGAAGGCAGCCGCAAGAGGAAGGCGAGGTGCCGGGGAGTCAGTAGTAATCGTCAAGTATGTTCTGGAATACCTAGAACGCGCAAGAGATCGAGCTTGCTCAGTCTACTCTTAAATATCTTACTGTTCGGTGCTTGAACAACATGGGGCGGAAGAAGCTCGAACCATCTAGCGCAACGGTTAAAAAGATTATTGAACATCAAAGTATAGCTCTTGGATTGAATAGACGGATAGTGTAAATTAAACCCACCTAATCTTGGAGTTCCTCAATTTGACGTTATCTTGAAAGCTTTGCTGCCCATTCAACAGATGCAACGTAAACTTCACGGCACTGTAAATTTCATTAGAAGACCAGTTCGTTTCCAATGGTGCTAGAGTTCTTTTTTTTAATCACTTCTATCGTTCCCTCTTACATCCAACTTGGAGGAGCAGCCATGGTGAGCAGTAGTTTCTTAAAGAATCGGTGACTGGGTTCTCCTCTAGAATGTGGTAAATCTCCCGCACCCAGTAAGAGAGTGTAAATAAGTGCAACGGAATAGAAATGAAAGTGTTTCAATTTCCGTTCCCTGACTTCTGTAAGGGTCGGGACAAATGGCTTCGAAGTGACTATTGAGCACTAGTGCCCAACAATCAAATTGGTAAAGCGAAGTAGGTAAAAGGCATTTCGTAAGAATTCCTCCGTCCAAGCTTTTATCGTAAGCAACACATTACACTCGCTCTGAACCGTGGGAGTGTTGCGATTCTATCGTCGAGATAATTGGGCCGCGCAGCTCGCCCGATCCTCGAACCATTGAGGTTGAGATTTAAACCTTTTGCCTTGAGTATGCAACGACACCATCGTAGTGAGACTTTTGGAGTGAGGCCTGGGTATCCACTAGAACTTGAGATCTTTCTCTTTCAATTCTTCTTCTCGTAAGCGAGCTTTGTCTTCAGACATATTTCCAATCCTCACAATTGCTCCTCAATTTCTAATGCATATGTAACTGCGATCGAGACAGAGTACTTCCGATTTTTAGGAATTGCCACATTGAATTCTGGCTTCAATCTTGGCCCGCCATCTTGCGCGCCACATTACGTGGGGAGACGGGCAGTAGGAACGATTTCGGGTAATCGATTCGCCGCACGCGGCTGTCGCATTATTATAGCTCCGGCGTTCTTCACACAGCTCAATCGATATGCGACCATTATTTTAGGCATAATTCTACAAATTATTTTTTGACGATGCATTTTTTACCTGATGCTGCATCCTGCCACATTCCTTCGCGCGCGGCGTCTCTCGCACCGCGACGCGACAATTTCGTTCCTTCTGCACCAGACCCCGTGAGGTGACCTCATTATCTCTTATAAAATGGCGCGGCGCGTTCCCTGTTCAGAGCAGTTCAGACCTCGATTTTGTTTTCTCAGATATCAAGAGTAAGGTGAAGATCAAATGCGCTGGTAATATCGCTAGTATCTTGGGAAAGGTTTTAGCATACGTGAACTACGAAAGAAACTTTGAAATCAATTCAAATTTATGGTCACGCAGAATAAAGTTAGTGGAAATCAGCACCAGTCGAAGTTTGTCGGGAAACTCACAGTTACAAAGTAAAATTTATACCTCCGTTCCTTTTTTGGGAAAATCGAAGTTTCGTATAAAACTTAAATCATTTCGGTCGATTCCAGTGGCTTCCTTAATCACTTGTAATACTGTGTTGGTGGTGTTGTTCTCACTGAGCACAGACGACATTAATAGCAGAACGCCGAAGACTACGAACATCTTGGCTGAAATGTCAACAAAGCATGTGAATGATTGCTATTTCCCAGCCTTTTGAGACAGCTCTTTTGGAGATGTTGAATTCGTTAATTTCATCAAAACTATGTTTAGGCTATGACACATTATGGTAAATATTCTGTGCTGCATATATAATTATATATTATAAGGCGATTATTTAGCAATCTTTTCCTTCCCATTTCAGAAATGTACAAGAACGATTAGTTTTTTTATGGCAAAGGACGAATACCACCAGCTTCTTATTCACACTTTTATATGTTAACAGTATCACCCTTCATTGCTGAATCGGAATCAAATGTAGCAAGTTACGGAAAAGTCTAAAAGGGATGGAAAGAATACGGTGTCTGCCTTTGAAGGATTCTCGATACTTTTTTTTACTATCCGGTCTTCACTGTGTGTGCAAGTGCTCTGACCGGACTTTGCGCCTCCCCAAAGGACCTCCTCCACGTAAAAGCCGACCCTTCTTTCTCACATAGATTTAGATGGAGCCAGAACTTTTGCTTGAGAAAATTATCTAAGTTCTGCATTAAACCAAATCATGAGTTTGCTGAGTTGGCGGAATTTCAGAAGCAAATTTCTGTTTGTACAAGTGAACCAACCCACGAGCGGAGAAAGTCGTGACACGCCCGTGCTCTCACCGTTTTCTTTAAAGGCACCGTTCACGATAATTCCCTGTTGCTGACTCGCGGGGCTCTACCGCCCCTCGATCGATGTCACTTCAGACGAGTGTCGAGACGATACAGATTGCAATTATTCGTTCTAGGACCCACACACAATCAGCTGATCGTCGAGTGATGAGGCGATGATTTTCTCCTATTCTTTTTCCCTTTGTCATTCTTTTTGCTGCCGCTATTCAATTTCCTACCTAAAGAGGCTAAAAAGGTGAGCTATTTATACTGTTGCTAAGGGTTTTCTGTTCACTTATGCTTATGAGTGAATTTTGCCTACCGTAGTCAGCTATTTGCACCAAGACCCACAAGTGCGCATTGACCCACGTTGTATAGGTCGTTCGAACGCCCCACTCTTCTTCATCCTTCTGGTCTCATTCTCGTTCAGCCCCCTTATTAACGAATTTTCGAAGCCTTTATTCACTTTGGAAACACCTATTAAAGCAGTTCCTTGGCCATCATCGCACTATTTTTCACCTTATCTCCCATTTTTCGTTATAATCTGGATTATCCAAAATTATCGTGAACTGTGCCTATAGGGAACAGTAATATGTGGTATCAAGATGTGCCAAATTTAATACTAACCGCTCTCTCATTTCTTTCAGTCTTCTTGGAAAATAAGCCCTAGTGGCAGAACTAATTCGTTCATCATTAATGAATATGTTCGACTTTTATTGACCATCGCAGGTGGAAGAGAGCTACCGATTACCGCTTCTGTCTCGAAAGTACCAAAGGCCTTCTTCAAATCGATGAACGTTAGACATAATGGCATCCTGTATCCTCGCGATCTTCAGTGAATCTTGTGACAGGTGGTGTTATCGACTGTACTAAACCCTCACCGGAACGCTGCATGTGCGCAAGGCTGTCCTTTCTCTAATTGAGATTGACGTATTGAGTTGAAATTGACGCATATGTAAAGTTCATAGGATACAGATAGCAGACAGGTTGGGCGATAGCGGGAAATAGTCGGGATCTCCCTTCTTATACAGCAACACGGTCTTGCCAGTTTTCCACGACGTGGACACTTGGCATCACGATAGGTATCGCGTGAAGAGCCTAACCAGAGATCTGACGACATCTTGTGTAAGACACTTTAGATTTCTGGTCTGATCCTATCGGGAAGTCGTACAATTCCCCGACG